ATTATAAAAATTTATTTAACTTAAAATAAAAATAAAATAACTTATTTGATTTAAAATAAAAATATAAAAATTTAATTAAACACAATAAAACTATAAAAATTTATTTAAATGTTTTCAATAATTTAGAGACTTATTCAATCGTTTTTTTTTTTAAAAAAAAAAGATAAAATCATTGTATCCGTGTGATTGCTTTTGGATTGTTAATCTTACCTCAATTATTGATATATGTATCACTGCTGTTTATTGATGTGAAGTAGCCATTATTGTTATTGTTACTTTTGATTTGATTGAAGGACCCCATGTTTTCCACATCCTTGGACCCTGTGGCTAATGCCTCAGATTTCTTCACGAAACTTAATATTCATGTAACTATTTTTAATTTATAAGATGAATCTATCTAGTACTTGACACCAAGTGTTATTATAATATATTAATTAAATATTATTAATTTAATTAATTCCAAGACCAATTAAGACCTAAAATGTTCATTCATCATCTATTTTGCACTTTAATCCACTTTGGTCCAATTATTGTGTACCCCGTTCTCTTTACTTAAAAGATTCTTCATTTTTTTTATTTTTTCAATAAAAAGATTATGTCTTATATTTATTATTGTTGAAAATATCCGACAAAATGCAAGGCTTGCGAGTTCAGTGAAATATAACTTAGTCAAATAAGTTTTTTATTATGTTTAATTAAATATTTATATTTATATTTTTAATTAAATAAATCTTTATGATTCCCTCAAATTGTAATGAAAGGTTTTTCTTACAAATTGTAATAAATTATTACCCATCTATAAACTAATAAGTAACATCTATAAACTAACATGTGTAAATCTTTATTTTTTTATTATATTCAATCAAATATTTATATTTATATTTTTAATCAAATAAGTTTTATGATTAAAATACAATTTATCATTTTATAAAGCCTGACATGATTTTCTATGATTTGGCGTATTGGATTCCAGCCTTGGCGCACCAAATCGGCATCAAGTCCATTTTCTATGCGCCGGTGACTGCAGCCGCAAACGCGCATGCGACGACGAAGAAAGTTACAAAGGAAATGACTGTAGGAGAGTTGATAGAAGTTCCTCCTGGTTATCCTTCTTCCAAGGTGAAACTCAGAGCTGAAGAGGTTTCAGTTCTGACAATTGCGCGGAAAATCTTTGGAATAGAATTGTCATTTCAGGACCGGATAATAACTGCCATAAAAGACAGTGATGTCATAGCCTATAGGGCTCACCGTGAAATTGAGGGACCTTTCTGTGACTATGTTGCTCAACATTTTGGCAAGCCTGTTATGCTAACAGGGC